CACACCTCTTGAAATGCTCCCATATGACCGGGCGTCTTACATAGCCTCTCCTGAGGAAGTCCTACTCACTGCCTTCATGTGGCGGAGGTGTTTTTCACCGAAGTCAGAGAGCAAGAGCGGATGCGAAATTCAAACTTCATTTAACAGCACGCCAGAAGACGCGACCTCCAAAGCGTATCAATGTTGTCCCGCTTCAATGTTCGACAAAGCGACAAGCCTTGTCCAAACAAATCCAGGCCGAACTAAGCGCCGCAGATGAACCAACATCCACATCTTCTAATACACCTGAGACACGATGGAATCATTTCAAAGAAGTAGTCTCTAAAGCTTCAATGTCGCATTTGGGTACCACATCCAACAAGCAGAAAGACTGGATTTCAGAGCACACCATGCATCTATCCTCGCAAGCCAGAGACGCTCGCCTAGCAAAGTCTCCAGTTTATCGCTCCCTCAGGCGCAAAGCTACACAGTCTGCTAGGAATGACAGAAATCGCTATTGGTCTAATGTGGCGACTAACATGGAAGCAGCATCAAATGTAGGCGATTTCGGAAAACTTTATCGCCTCATACGCCTATCATCTGGCAAACGCCTTAACAGTCATGCTGTGTTACGCACAGCATCAGGAGAAATTATTTCGGACACCAATGGTAAGATGGAACGATGGGCCGAACATTTCAAGCAGCTACTCAATCGCAACGCTGGTCAACCGTCTCATCGACCGATACGACACTTACCAACACCCTACGTAGTTGACTGCGATCCACCCACTCCAACCGAAATAGCTAAAACAATTAACAGACTCAGAAACAAAAAAGCTCCGGGCGAAGATGGTCTACCTCCAGAAATATACAAGGCCTGCACTCCAGCGCTAATCGATTCGCTGCACTCGCTGTTCTGCTCAATTTGGGAGTCCGAAACCATTCCTTCCGATTGGAGCACCTCAGTTCTGCTACCGTTCCACAAAAAGGGAGACAGGTCCTATGCGAGAACTACCGAGGCATAAGTCTGATTGATATCGCTGCTAAGGTTTTTGTTTCCATTCTCCTGAACCGCTTCGGCCGAACGCCACGTGCGAACAAGGCCAAATCAAGCCGGATTTCGACCTGGAAGAGGCTGTGTTGATCAATTATTCACACTGCGAAGAATTTTGGAACACAGGGACAAATTCCAACAGCCGACGGTTGCTTGCTTCATCGACTTCCGAGCGGCATTCGACTCAGTTGATCGAGGAGCACTCTGGTATCTAATGGAGCTCGACGGAGTTCCGACCAAGCTAATCAACCTGCTCAGGTCATACTACTCCAACACCAAAGCTCGAGTCCGAGTGAACGGTGAAGAGTCTCGCACTTTTGAGGTAACCAGCGGTGTCCGGCAAGGTTGTCCAGCATCCCCCATCCTGTTCAATTTCACAATTGATTGGATTTTGCGGCACGCCCTAACCGAGCACCACGGCGTCCAACTTTCGCCCGATATTCACATAACCGACCTCGAATTCGCCGACGACGTCGTGTTATTAGCTGAAAACTTCCCCGATATGCAACAGGCGCTCGATCAGATAAACCACCTCGCGCCTACTATCGGTTTGAAAATTAACACTTCCAAAACCAAAATGTTTTCGAACACATCCACCAGCAATGATGAAATCTTATCCCTGAATGGAGCACCTATTGAAATTGTGCCATCCTTCAGATATCTGGGATCCATAATGCTCCCCAACGGTCAAGCGAAAAACGAAGTGAATGCGCGAATCTCCAACGCCCGGAATGCGTTTCTACAGCTGAGGAGCGTTCTATGGAGCAAGAGGAAATCAGTCTCAGGACTAAAATTCGGGTCTACCAAGCCTCCATACGACCCGTTCTCCTGTATGGCTGTGAAACCTGGCCTCTTCGCGCGGAAGATTTACGCAGACTCGAGGTAGTAGACCATTGGTGCCTCAGGTACATTCTGCATGTTCGTTGGCAGGACAAACTCTCCAACGAAGAAGTGCGTCGTCGTTGCTACAACATCAACCAAATTCCAGTACTGGTCCAACAACGTCGCCTTCGGTGGTTTGGCCATGTTCTGCGCCGACCAGATGACGATCTGGTCAAATCAGTTCTAAATCCCTCGCCATTTCCATCTTGGCGATGTCGCAGGGGTGGACAGCTGAAAACATGGCTTGGTACAGTCAAGGGTGATATGGAGTGCCTGGGGCTACAAACCGTCTACGGACTCCGTGTGTGGAACAAGAATTGGATAACCCTGTCACAAAACCTTGCATCAGATCGCCGCGCCTGGGCAGCGATGATTCGAGATGTTCATGAAGCCGGCTCATCCTCCCGTAGGAGATAGCCGAAGTAAAGTAAAGTAAGTAAGTGAGTGCGTGCTGCCGATGATTCCCAAACTAGGACTAAAGAACTTGCTTCCAGTACTCTCAGCTTGCTTTCAATGGTTCTCTAACTGATATCATATTGTGGTCAAACTTGATAAATAATAAATGTTTTTGTTACAGGATTTCATCATGAGCTGACATTGGTTAGAGAACCATTGGAAAATCACCTGGGAGTACTGGACAGCTGTTTCGTTAGTTTAGTTTGGGACTCTTCAGGAGTACGCACCCACCATGGGGGTTCGAACTCAGGACCTTCTGGTTACAAGGTGAGCTCGTAGACCATTAAGCCACTGGGACCTGATCCACTGGCCCATGAATTCCAACATCTGCCAATGTCAGCTCATGATGAAATCCTGTAACCAATCAATCAAATCCCTACAAACCAATACTTGAATGAATGTTTGTTTATTTGTTTTATTTAAGTATTGATCTGAACTATACATCAGGGTTGGCATTTGATGTTAGCTACGGTAAAATGTTTAAAACTCTGTCTATGTATAAGTTTTTCTTCTGCTGGAAATACTCGATTCAAGTTGTCGAAACTACGTCGAATATTTATTTCTAGAAAGATATTTTGCCTACCCTTCTACGTGAAGAAGTTAAGACAATCTGGTAATTACTCAGTCTGTAGCTTCACATTTGGTTAATCCTTGTATTCAACTTATTCACTCTCTATTGTTCCCACTTAATCTTGTGCATCGGTGGCACAGCGGTTAAAACACTCACCGACGATGCACATGATCCGAGGTTCGATCCCCTTCCGACGCACACCTGATATCAATTTGTCGGCCTGCGAAATTTGGGCTACCGATATCACATGCTGAAAATTCCATACTTGTACCGAAAATACGGTGTGAAATCAAGCTATAAATAAAGATGGCTTTGCTACATTCCAGAGGGAGCATCAAAAGCTGTCGGTAGGGTGAGTAGGGTATCGCTTAACCAGCTTGTTAATACTGTTGTAGGAATAAACACATGGATTTTATCGAAGAAATTGGCAAACATCATCTTTTTGGACTCTGAGCGCATCCTTGTTCTATACAAAACTCTCCCTTTTTATCTCATCAAGGAAGGACTGGAGGTAAATCTCAAAGACTTTATACTCTGACGACTAAGTGTAAAAACGCTGATGCCTTATTTAGTACACATTTTATGTGATGGGAAAAGTGTTAGGTGGAAACTACTAACTTACTGCGAGACAGTTAGTAAATGGCCCTTTTTTATTCTTCCTTTCATTATTATATATTGTTATCACTATTTCTGCTTTACACCCTACATTCATAGCTTTATTGAAATTATTATCAGTGTGAGATGGCTTGTTAATTATTCTTTCCTTTTTATGTGATGTAAAGAGGAAATTAAATGTTCTATTCGATTGTAATGGCAAAGACGACAGACTTGGTAAAGGAATGTCTATTTACAATTTGGTATCGCTATATAGCCAAATTATGTACACCTTATCCTCAACGCACATCGTCGGTGGCACAGCGGTTAGGACTCTCGCCGACCATGCATATGGTCCGGGGTTCGAGCACGCACCGACGCACACCTGATATCTATGGTCGGCCTGCGAAATTTGGGCTACCGATATCCATGCTGAAAATTCCATACTTGTACCGAAAATACAGTGTGGAATCAAGCTGTAAATCAAAAATATAAAAAATATAAAAATATAAAAAATATAAATACTTGGAGATCTTCCGTATTGTACTACTTCTGTTCCTTATATGATGTTTCTTCGTGTTCCTTTCACGTCTCCCATGTTTCTCCGCACCAATGAGTTATTTGCTTTCTGTTTTATCAAGTTTTTCTCTCTGCCATTTTGATGTTCATATGCCTATGAAGGTCTCATTATATACTACTGATAAATCTTACCAGTGACACGCCACACTACTACATGCTGAGAATCTCAAAATGTGTCAAATGTTACTGTTTGGAATAATGCCATTATTATTATCATAATCATTATTATACTCTGCCAATTAGAGATACTCCGGTTTATGAAAAACGCGGTCTTTATCAGAAAATATTAAAAGCAACACAATGTATGTACTGAAAGGAATAGACGCTAATTCTGATGGCTTGATTACTACGGGAGAAAACAAAGTTTCCAAGTATTGGTTTTGTAGGGATTTTGTTTGATTGGATGGAGGATTTTATCATGAGCTGACGGGGGTTCTCTAACTGATACCAGCTCGTGATGATATCCTCCATCGAATAAAACGAAGTTTATCTTAATTTGGATTTTTGATTATGATGTTGTAGTGTGTGCGTCGGTGGCATAGCGGTTAGGACACTCGCGCACCCCATGCATATGGTCCGGGGTTCGATCCCCGGCTACCGACGCACTCCTTTACCTCGCTAACCCAGAAATAATGCTGGTAAAGAGGAAAGGTGAGGCATGAGGCTAGCAACTCCATCCTATAAAAATAAACACTCCTACAGAAACTTTAAGCCACTAGCTTGAAGCCCTATGTTCCACTGAGGAACGTGAAGGAAAAAAAATGTTGTAGTGTAGCAATAGTTTTGTTTTTAAATGTTTTTATTGTCTTTCATCGTATCCTATATATGTGCGTGTGTGTTTATTTCTTTACCCCGTGATTTTGTTTTGTCTGTAACAAACAACAGATCTGTATTTGGCTATCGTAATCTTATATACGCTAATCTGCTTATTGAATATGGATGCTTAATGTTGAATACGGACAAAACACGGAAAGCAGCAGAAATCTATCGGGTTTGTTAATAGTATTTCATATTATTATTATTACTTAAATAATATACAAATACTGTTGTATTTGTCTGTCTGCTGAAGTCAGACACACATGTCCTTGAAATATGCACACGTGACTAGAGCCTTTTCTTTCGTCTGTGTTTTTGTCTTTCACTTGAACAGAATTGTTTATAAAGCCTGTTGCTGACAGTTATCGTGTTTTATGTTCTTCAACTTTTATAAACAATAAGATAGGTGATATATAAAAGTGTAAATAAGTCTGAAAAAAAGACCAGCTGTCATTTATTTTAACTGATATGCAGTTGAAGTAATCTTCTTGCTGAAATGGAGAACGAATAAGTATCATGAAGACCGTATAATTTATGTTTAGATGTTCAGCGTACTACTGTGTTCAGAGCTATCTGCAAGTCGAAATTGTAGACATCAATTGACGTCAATGTTTACGTCCCGAATCGGGGTCATGAGAGAAAAAAAAACAATAACAAAGCTTAACTTCGAGGAACTCAATAACCAATCACAGCAGACTTAACGTATGCAAATATGATTCGCAGATATATGGCTTAACTTTCTAAGAAACGGTCACAACCAGTACAGGATAACCTTGATCAAGAAAGCAACTAACCAGAAGACGTTGTTTCTCTGCTAACAATAACACCAGTAATAATGTACATGAAAATCTATAAATTTCTGTTGATTTTATCAAACGATCTATTGTCTGACCCTTGTCTTCGGTCGTTACACTACTACTCTCATTGACTTCTAATATCTAGTACATTGTTACTGAGCTATTGTGTTAAAATTCAACTATTGAGATTTCTAGTTGGTAGTCCTTATTCATGCGATACTTATAATGTCTCTAGTCATTCACCATGTTTTAGGTAAGTTTTAGGCGAAAATAACCCCGATTCTGCCTCCAGAAAGCTTATGTCACGATAATAATAGCAAACGACAATACGATGATGCATTATCGTACGATAATGTTTAATTAAAAATATGTGATTTCATACATTTCATCGATAAGATAAATTTCTCACAGTTTCAAAGGTATATCTGCATAAAATTAAACTTCTCTATTAATAGTTGAGTTTGAAGAATAAGTTTGTATGACGAATAGACAAAAGTTGGATTGTCTACAGGATTTAATCATGAAATGACATTGGTTAGAGAACCATTGGAAAAACTGGGAGTACCGGACAGCTGTTTCGTCCTAGTTTGAGACTTTTTATCAGTACGCACCCATGGGAAAGTTAGGATTTACTGCCCAGTTGTTTTGTGTTGCTTTTAGATAGCTATGACCAGTAAGGACAATTAAGTTAGTTGGCTATAAAGATAATTATTCATTGATTATTTGCTCTGTTCATAAGTGTGAAAAAAAACATGATGAATTTTCGAATCTGAACTCTTTGGATGAGTAATAATGTACTCATTGCGAGATGAAATAGTCCTAGTCTCAGGCTGAAAAAGGATTATGCCTAAATGTTGCTGAGGAGTTCAGTACTTCTTTGGATTTTAGTCGTTCTCTAGATGCGGGTTTTTGATGGGAAATAATATTTCCTCAAGTAAAGATGATATTTGGGAAAGAACTTATCACCTTTATAAAAGTTTGATAGACTAGACACATCACACTAGTTACTAGTGTCCAATCAAAATATCCACTACAGTCCTACAGGAGGTCAATCGCGAGCCAGCCCGAATAGCTCAGTGGTAACGTCTCTGACTGCAGCACTAGGTGATGACGCGACTTCGAATCTCAGAAGGGACATGAGTTCCTTCAAGGTTGCAGATACGCCTTGCTGACTGGTGAGCTCCAACTAGCACGAAACCTAGGTTGTAAGCTGTTTTCCGATTGCCTCCAACCATCTAATATCATCATATCAATGTGTACCGTGATTGCAAGCTACCTAGAATGGTAGCTACATTACAAACCTAACTGATAGAATTCAGTCTGCACCAAAGGAAAGACTAGACACATCACACCAGTTACTAGTGCCCAATCAAGATCTATATACTTTCATAACTCATAGACTTGTATGATAGACTGTAAGTATTCGCTATTCTTGTCTGTCAATCTGCTCATCTCAGCGTACAAATCTTTTAATAGAGTAAAACTTATTCTAACTTAAAGTTCATAGTGAAAAAGCCTAATTACTTTCTAGTTTATGCAATGAATAATAAGTTTGAGTTGTCTAGACATTTGATTATCATTCTTTATTAGGTCATGTACGTGTTACACCTACTAGTCGTTTACTAAATTCTTAGTCTCAAACACGATACGTGTCATTCATTCACTCTATTTCGCTTAACAATCGAATTTCAATTTAGTGTTCCTTGATGACCTGTTACAAGACGAATTTCTAATGAAAAATGATCGATTGGAATGTATCTAATTGTGTATGATCAAGTGACATCCTACAGCAGGCTCTCGAGGGGAACCCTGAACGGGAAGTGGTGAGTTGGTCGTCATTCCTTTGGGTGATATAGAGGAAGTCATGTGAAGAGGAGATAAAAGCATGTGGACAGACGTGGAGCCAGGTGAAAACGTTGTCAGAGGACCGAACGCAATGGAGACATCCGGCTGAAGCCCTATTTTCTTCTAGGAAATAAAGGAAACAATAATAATAATATATAATAATCGTGTATCATCAGGGATAATACACTGCGACAACATTAAATGTTGATGGCTGTGTTAGTTAAACTTGAGCCATTAGATTTTGGGCTTACTGACTAGATGGAGACATTCCAATCTCATCATATGATGCAGTCCCTTGCGTACTTGTGTATGGATAAATATTCTATAAAAAGAATGAAACATCCACTTAGTACTTTTCGATTTATCACTGGTGTACACTCTGTTGTTATCATGTTGGTTCTTAATGAAATCTGTATTCACAGATCCAGGTATTTGAATAATAACAATAATAATATACTCCGTTAGTACTATTGTTGTAATAGTATTCTTGTCTTATTTTTTCCCTCCTTGTCTTTTCAATTCAGATTGCATTAGCTTTGATATTAAATTATTTACCCGGTGCTAGTATAATGGTTGCTTTAGCCTTGGAAGCGATTGCCTACGCACACTATGTACTTGAATATACATCAGGTGATTTCACGTATGCTTTAAATTGTGCTGAAATATCTGGTCTAATGCTGCGTCGTTTAAATTATGGGGTGTGTATGCAAGCAGCTTCAGCGAATCGGGTCAAAGGTATGTTGAGTGTTTGCATATTGTTTTTGTTAACTGAATAATTCTTTCCATAATGTTTTTACCGTATATCTTGTCGATTTCTTACACATTAATGTAACTGATGAAGAGTCCCAATCTAGGCCGAAACAGCCGACTGTCCAGTATTCCCAGGTGGGTTTTCCAGTGGTTATCTGACTGATGTCAGCTCATGATGAAATCCTCCATCCAATTATAACTGTTATCAGTTAGCAGAATTTAGCATATTTCTGGTTTTAGTGTTTGTTACTCGTCTTTGCTGTAAAGTTGTTTGTTTTTGTTGTTGTAGTGAATAACTTATAATGAGAGTTTTCATATATGTAAATATCCTTTTTACTGTTGTCTAATTTCTTTATTTAATGATCAAATATGTACTTTGTAGAGTTTATCATGTGAATCTATGATAAAGAGTTCGTCGATAACCTCATTCATCAGTGTATTGATTGTTAATTTCGCAGTGACCTCTATGCAGCGAATCTACTGTTGTTGTCTGATAAGTTGTTTGATAGCTTATTTAGTTTTTTTGAACTGTTTAAAGACAAATAGAGAGAGAATATTGATTTGATTGTATCCAAGATATTGAAGTGACTAAGAGAGATGGAAATAACACTTAATATGATCTAATTTTCAACGCTTAGGGAACTTTTGTTTAATGTATTACTAAACTGGCTGAATAGCATATTCTTTTATAGATATGGTTTTAAAATGGTTCAAGATGTGAATGTTACCAAACGGGCCGCATGTATCTACTCGAAATCGAATAGGCCTCTTAGCGTTTCCATTACAGCACAACTGAGTCATTCTATATTTCGTAACCATGAAACAACTACCAACCGTATTACCATGCGCCGAAATCTTGTCAATGACTTCATCTAATGAACTTGGTCTATTCACTCACTAAGTATATTGAAAACTCTCCATGAAAAAAGTTGACTTATCCAAGATAATCAAGTTATTTCCATCATGGTGCATTGGCGGCACAGTGGTTAGGACTCTCGCCGACCATGCACATGGTCCGAGGTTCGATTCCCTGCCGACGCACACCTGATATCTATGGTCGCCCTGCAAAATTTGAGCTACCGATATCACATGCTGGAAATTCCATACTTGTACCAAAAATATAGTGTGGAATCAAGCCGTAGTCAAGCCTGGCCGACAACTGCTACCTTGCCGTGGTGGTCGGGCTTGAATACCGCAGTGACCCAACAAGCTAAACTGGCTGGGACTCATGTCCCTGCAGGTCCTACCATGTCAGGGAGGTTGTTTGGATAGCGGTTAGACTAAAAGCAGTTACCATGGGGTACATGGGATTCAGAATCCACTGGGATCAAATGGCGTATGAAACCATATGGCAACCACTGGCAACTACGGGAATGCTGCTCCGTTGCCTTGAGGACTAGACTCCAAGTCAAAGGCTCGGGGGGGTGCTCCCTTAAGAAAACCACCTGAGTCGGTCTGGGCGCCCGAGAAGTATCTCAGCCCTCACACAACAAATGAAATTTAGTGTGGCGCATCTTTCTTGGTGGCATATTGTACCAAGTTTTTTCTGCGTTTAAATAAATAAATAAATAATAAATAAAATCTAATCAAAAGAAACCAAAAATGAAGAGGTGGATTATTGGCTTAAACAATTGAATTTCAGCTAATACGGCATGTGTGTTCGAGTCCTATTCCTTCTACTTAACCCTAGACAAGTTGGTAGTATCATCAACCTTCACGCCAAAAAGTGTGTGGCTCTAAGTCTATCACAAGAACCATCATATTACATCGATCTCCCTAGTGAGCACTACTACTTGAGGTGTGTGAGGTGTCTCCAAATAGTTGTATTCAGCAGTTGTATTTACAACTGTTGCATCTTTGCTTACCCTTTTGATGACGTTTACGTTGCCAAATGGGCTATGATCTGCAGATCCATAATTAGGCGAGTTCGGTTAAAGTGCCTAAAAACAGTATGAGGTACTTTCTCATTACTTTTATTTAGTGAAAGACTATCACAAATTCTCTTAATAGATAACGCTGTAATTCCGCTTTCACCCTAAGGAATATAGTTTTGATGAGTTTAGTGAGTCTGCTCATTTAGTTTGACTTGATGAAGATTTGCCCACCACTCGCGACTTATCCAAACCTGAGAAACTTGTCTAGTTCCTCACCATGCATGTATTGAATATCTATCTACAAAGCCTAAAGGTGTAGATACTGTGTTATTAATAAATCTGACTCCTGCATGTTTTTTTTATTTTCAAAATTAGTAATATCTCATCAACTAAGAGTGCTCTAATGCGGATAACTTAGTTACCCTGTAAATTATCTATTTGTATCAGACATAAGAAAATATCTTGTTCATTTTATAGAGAAGCAAATATGTGATCAATACTTTCATTGGACACTAGTAACTAGTGTGATGTGTGTCTAGTCATTTCTTTGGTGTAAACTGAATTCTATCAGTCAGGTTTGCGATGTGGCCGCCATTCTAGGTATTTCGTCATCACTCCGCATTTGAAATTAGTGGTGTTAGATGGTTGGAAGTAATCGGCCACAGGAAGCCTGGCACCTAGGTTTCATGCTAGTTGGCACTCCCCAGTTAGCAAGGCGATGTATCTGCAACTTTCAAGGAACTCATGTCTCTTCTGAGATTCGAAGCCGCGTCATCACCCAGTGGTGCAGTCAGAGACGTAACCACTGAGCTATCCGGGCTGGCTCGCGATTGAGCTCTTGTAGCTCAATGTTAACGTATCTGACTGCAGTACTCACTGGGTGACGTGTGGGTTCGAATCTCAGAAGGAATATGAGTTTATTGAAAGTTCCAGATACGTCTCCTTGCTGTAGAGCAGAGATAGGTAATGGGCGTAAATAAAAATCGTGCGATTATTTTAAAATCTAGTTATTAGTTAAAATACACGTTCAAGGCTAGTTTTTTTTAAAATGTTCCATGAACACTTCTGTTGTTTGTTTTTTGTCTTTTTGCTTAAAATAAAAGTTTATTTATAAAAACAATTACCAAAATAAAATTAGTTAACTAGGTGGAGCTCAAATAAATAAGCAAATAATCAACTACTGTTGTTGTTTAAGGACAACAACACAGCATAGCGTGATTTTTCTTTCTTTGGAAGGAATTTTAAAGTTTTATGTTTAAAAGATTGTAATATTTTTAACCTGATTAATGCAGTATATGCATTTGTCATGAAGAAAGTTCTACGTATGTATGTTCTTTTAAACATGTCTCAAAAGTAACGCCTTCTTATATTTTCTCTTTCTGCCTTATCTCTATCTATCCATCTATCTATCTACTTATCTTTGAATCTCACCCCTTAATCATTTATCATAGAGTGAAAATTTTTTCGAATCTCAGCGACACTATTTCCGAGTATTTTTTTCCGACGGCGGGGGGGGCTACCTGAAACAGAATAACGGTTAGTGTTGCTTGACTGAAAAGCCCCTGATTTACACATCTGTGACAAAATAAGTAGGGGGATAAGATGATGGTGATTTGGGTAAAGGAGAATAATGCTCAGGAAGGATTCGTGTGCTCTTGGAAATGTGTGGGCGGTTGTTACTTCCCGGCTACCCACACCGTGAAAGTTGATTGGTTCTTCGGGTACCTGAAACAGAAAGAAGGTTAGTGTTATGTGATGGCAGAGCCCAGAGGACAACTGCTTGAGGCCGATCTCACACGACCTGTATGAACTGGTTTGTTGGTTTCATTCCGTATTAGTAGTAAACTTCCCGCCGGTTACGGACCACCGTGAGGTAAGTCGGGATATACAACTTTTGGGGTCGACCTTTACTAACCCCCTCATTACGGAGTGGAAACACAGCATATGTGGCTGGAATACTGGTCATCTGAGGGAAACACCTTACTGTGGCTGTTACATCCCTTTTCCCCAGAAGTACGATTTCACCCTCAGACCCCCCCCCCAGAATAGTGTAAGAAAGATTCTTACACTATCCTAACAGCTTTTTGTGCATGGTAGGACCTGAAGGAACATTGGTTCCAACCAGTGTAGCTTGTTGGGTCATTGAGATGCGCAAGCTCGATCACCACTTTAAGGTAGCAGCTATCGGTCGGGAAATGCAGAGTCTTCTGAACACCTTGAGCAGCAATCTGCAAATGTTTGGCATGCGATTCGCCCTCATCAAATGTATGATGATGCTACATGACTGGACTACACTGACTCCTAGCCTAAAGATAGGGAGTGGTGAGGTACAGTGTGTTGACCACTTCACTTATTTGGGGAGTTGTATTAGCCAACGTCGGCGTGTTGAATACTAACGAAATCCCACCACAGATACAGAAGGCTCGTTTGGCATATTTGCCTGCTAACTTACGTCATCTCTGGCGTTGACGCGATATCCGACTGTCTGTTGACCAAAGGGCGTTTGTACTTCTCATCAGTACACTGAAAGTGAAAGATATGAAAAGGTTAACTGTCTTTGATCATAGGTGTCTGCGTTCTATCTCCCGTGTTAAGTGGTATAATAAAATGATCAATATTGAGGTTAGGCATCGGTTGATTGCTGCGTAAGGAAGGGAAATCACTTGACGAGGTTGTGAAATTACACCGATTGAGATGGATGTGTGTTACTGACGTCTAGGCATTGCCTTCTTCGACGGGTAATGTTAGCTGACATAGGATGGATTGCGTTGGGAAAATTAGTCAATGATGGTCAAACCAAAACACAGCCTCGTCAATCAATGAAATCCACTACACATCTGTGCAAATTTCTACGTTGAAAACAGTCAATCACACTATGTGGGCGTTTTAGACTCTTGGTGATTTTATAGTTTCAATTTATAGGAATTTAAATATTCCTATTATGATAATAACCTGAACAAAATTTAAGTGAATACATCTCCTCGATAATTTTTCATTGGAATTTACTATTACATAATAAATCTATAAGGTGCAGATATTCTACATAAACGTGACTAGTAGAATTAAATTTGAGACATATGAATTTATGGATAATAGTCAAGGTGATCATAATAACAATAGTAATAATAATAATAATAAGGACAAATTCATGCAAGTGTTTATATATAATTTAGGTATCATCCAATTCTTGTGAATGTGTAAGTAGAATGTATGTGACTGTGGTGGTAGAGAGGAAAAGTATGTCTTATTTCACAGCGATTACATAATCGAGTGACTGGTTTTGTATAATAAATTGTGACACTGCGTTAAAAAAACAATCATGTGATTGCAACACAGTATGATGATAAAAATTAAAGATAACAGTGCGGACAAAGACTTTTACAGTTATCTGGTCTCATCGAGACAGAAGACTATTCTCGGTTGTGGGGGTGGGGTGAGAGAGAATGGGGTTAGACAAACGTTTTCTGAAAAATATGGATCGGGCTGAAAATTTTTTAAAATGGTAATTGCTTATCTTTCGAAGGCGTACAAACCTGGAGAATTCAGATAACATATTGAATAGAATAGTAATGCCTGAATTTGTATTAATCTTGTATTCTGTACCCTCTGAATGTGGCCAGTATGGGAGTCTCCGGTTTACCTCGTAACTCCTTTCCTTGACCACTTTGGAAAATGCTCAAGAATGCGATTGTGGACTTACCATGTCGGTCTACTTATGCAACTGTCTTCGCAAGAGCAGTTAGATTCATAGAAGCACGCTGAAATGGCCAGACTCAGCAGCTCATCCTTCACTTGCGTTGCCATTATACAATGGGTGGTGAATTTCAAACGCAGTGTTGCGAGAAAGAATGCTTTAGCTTTTATTTTTCTGAGTTTCCTTACTGGTAATTCAGTAGCTGGATTACTTTCGAATGATAAGGCCATATGTATATACGTTTCTTCTGCACTGTCTGCAAGCATTTCGCCATATCTGCTCTCATCATGGGAACCTTCAAAAACTTCTGGATATTCGTTCCCTACTTTCCTTATTCCGTCGTTCAAAGTGGAACACAGGGCTTCAAGCTTTGCAGTTTCAGTAATGGTAGTGTCCCTTTTGCGGGATGTGGTTGCTAGCTTTCCCTGTTTACTACCAGCCAAGCGAGGTTTTAAGAGTGCATCAGTCGGGAATCAAATCCAGAACCTTCCGCGTGTTTGGCAATCATCCTATCACAGAACCACCGATGCCTTCAAACTATCGGTTGTACTTTTTTTTCTAGCTTAAAACATTAGAGTACACTGGTGAAATTTCGCTTGTATTGTAGCAGAACAAACGATCCTATTAGCCAAATCATAACTTCTTATGGAAAATATCCCACTTGATTCATTCATCTAGCCTTCTTTGTAGCAGGGCATCTATATGTTTCATGTGTGAATTCATTTTCTGTGTGAGCTATGTTGAACGTTTTAAGAAAAAGAACTTCAAGAATGATTTTACTCTTGTGCAAAATAAAACCATCTTCTAGATATCCACACGTGATTGAGAGTTCGTTGATTAGATTTTTCAGTGAATCGTCTTATCTCTTGATTATATATTTGAGTTAATATATATATATATACTGTAGAATTGATTTTGTTGTAGTGTGTGTTGTGTTTGTTGTTTTCGCTTTCGTTTCTCAAGTGTTCATTGGCTTAGCAAAATGTCCATGTTGTACACCTTTGCAGGTTTATCAGTCTATCAGTTTGTAGAAAAAAAAAGGTAAAAAGAGGCTTACGAAAGTCTTTTTGTCAGATACTTCTTACTCTTTAGAAATTCACAGAATTTTGAAAAGGACAAATTCACAGAAAACTGTCACCTGAACACAGATAATAATATTATAAAGGTTGCTGGTAGTATTTAGTACGTATCCTTTCAAAATCGTTGCATTAAATTCTCAGAGTAGATGTCGATAAATTGAAAACTCTGATATGAAACAATCGATTATTATTAGTATTACTCTCTTGGGTTCTGAGTGGAACATAAGCCTTCAACAATACATCTCCGTTCTATTCTATTTTCTGCTACCCTCTTCACTTGGGTTCACAGTTGCCCATAATCTCTTATCTCATCGATGTCGCCATCGCATCGAAGACCCATTCGTCGCTTCTCGTTGGGATTCCAATCGAGGGGGTTGCCTCTCGCACGATGTCGGCGGTCGACGGCCTCCTCATGGTGTGTCCCCAATGCATTTCCATTTTCGCCTACAGATTTTTGCTGAGCAATCGGTTCTTGATTGGTTTGTTCCCGGTTAGGCATAGTTTCTTGTTGCTAATTCTTTTTCGCCGACCATTTGATCTTCAGTATGGAGCCAGTGACGTGGGCAGCTGTTAATAAAAGTCTGTAACTTGTTAAAAATTCTTTTTGTGACACGCCAATCGATTAACAAAAACATTAAACTTGAGTTTGATCAGTTTCAAGCACACCTATCTGCAAGTTATATGTGAAACTTTACAGAAGTTCGCATTCCTTTTTGTGATCTAGTTATATGTTGCTATTTAACTTTTCTAGCTATGCTTGAATCGCTGGAGAACCAACTCCCATAATGTCTATGGCCGACTAGTGAGATACATAGATCTATGTTAGCTCACCTGATTAGTGAATATACAACGTTAAATTGACATTTATAGATCTTTTGAAGTTATTTATTGTATCTCATTTTACCTTACTCATCTTTCATAAATCTGGCTTTTACACATATTCATAGGTCGGGAATTAGTACTTTATATGAATTTGTGAAATTTGTGTTCCTACAGTCTCTTTTTGTTTGCCATAACCATCTAAAAAATTATCCTTTCTCCTATTCTTCTATCGATTAATCTATATGATTATTGTTGTTTTTTACCATATCATCGAATTCACTTGACCTCTTTGAATTTTAACTTTTCTTACATAATTATTACCGAGTGATAAATATTCATCTTTAATAATTATAAGTTGGATATCTTAACAACTATTGATTGTATATTGCCTAGGTTTTGTAGAAAAACTAAACTGTATAATTTTATGTTAGGTGGTGGTGGCCTTATCCTTTAATAACTTTTATCTTCATTTCCTTCATTACTTCTCACGTCTATCACCTACCCACCTTGAAATTGATCATTTTGTTTTACTAACATATCTATATTTTTCACAGGACTTCATCATGAGCTGGGAGTACAGGACAGCTGTTTCGTCCTAGTTTGGAACTCTTCACCAGTACCCATCCGCCGGGGCTCCAACTCAGGACCTGGTCACAAGGCTAGCGAGCTCGTAGACCATTAAGCCACTGGGACCCGATCCATTGGCCAGGCCATGAATTCTCACTTCTGCCAATTCACGATATAGCGCAACCTTTAGCCAATGTCTTCGGCGAGTATATGTCTTCGCACCCGACCTGCTGGACCCTACTGATCACGACTTCCAACTAGAACCCCAGGTAACTACTCACCTAAACAGGACCAGTCGCCAGTGAGCATCTCATTGATGTTCAAGTATTGGTTTTGCGTACTGATGAAGAGTCCCAAGCTAGGACGAAACAGCTGTCCAGTACTCCCAGGTTTTCTAATAGTTTTCTAACCAATGTCAACTCATGATGAAATCCTGTAACCAATCAATCAAAGTCCTACAAACCAATACTTGAATATCGATATTCTGTTGATAAAAATAATAATGGTCAACACCTTTGATGAGGAACTATTAATTGTGAATAGCTCACTTCGTTGTTTTCTTCCAATAAAGTTTTAGAATCTTGAGCACGAATAAAAACAAAACCCGTAGAGTTCTCTTTTAAAGGGTGGAGGGTGGACTTAGTAAAACGAAAGTGTGAAATATTACTCTGAAGTATAGTGAATTAGACTACTTTTTGGATATTTCTTTGAAAGATATTTCCACCTAAACCACTATTTTACCGTATTGATAAGAAAAGTTGTGTTCTTGACATTTGTATTAAATCTTACCTATTACCGTAAGGTGTTGTGGTGGTTTTTAGGCCGAGTTTGTAAAATATAACACTCTTAGTTGATTTCAGTCTGTATTGCATTGATTTACAGTGAAAAAGTGAACACTATGTGTTACTTATTCATATTTTGTAGCCTTGATCATTGAAGAGATTGCAATAGATGATAATGATCCATCTAGAACAAGTTCAGATTTAAAGCTGGCACGTGATCTACACATGGAGTCCTTAGAACTTTGTGAACGTGTAAGTCTTTGTGTCTATTGTTGCTTTATCTTCTAATTTCTGTATACATTTTATTTTCTTGACTATAGACTATTCTCTGCGTCTCCAGTACTTGTAACACAGATTTCAATCTGCGTACTGATGAAGAGTCCCAAACTAGGCTGACGAAACAGCTGACTGTTCAGTACTCCCAGCTGGTTTTCCAGTGGTTTGTCTAACTGATGTGAGTTCATGATGAAATCCTCCTCCATCCAATCAGGCAAAATCTATTCAAAACCGATAATCGAAGATTTCCATCCGACATGTTATAACTGTCAGTATATATGTTGGTTTTAGCAAGGCTTTAAAATAAATTCACTGAAATAGAATAAACACGATTCAATTGTAATATTCACATTGAAATATCTTACAGTTGAGTCATCTCTTTGGTCTACTTAATTGTGTGGTTTGAAAAGAAAAACTGTTCTTCAGTTGAAAATAGTCACTAAAAATAACAGGACGTGTGTTACGTATGCCTAGTCATCGCCTTCCTCGACAATGGGCAATGTTAGCTGACACAGGATGAATCAGGCTGGAAAAGAGCTAGCACGTGGTGGTCAAACCAAAACATGGGACCAGTCAATGAAATCCACAACAGTTAGTTTAAGCCAGCCAGCCACGTAGGAAGGTGTAGACTCCCTGACTGGCTGGTTGGTGTCCTCAGGACGGTTAAAACCAATGGTTGGAAACAATTGGTGACATGGCTCAAAGTGATCGTTCTCAATGGCTGGTGCCGATGCATCCACTCCTTGTGACTTATGATTTCCAATGAAACTATATTGTTATTCGTCATTACTATTCCTTTGTCTTATATCAATGTTTACTGTCTCTATTATGCATTTCTTCTACTTTCTTCTCTGGGTTTGTGTGCTACATGGAGTGTGGTGACTTGAACTGCCGCACATCGGTGCAAAGTTCTATGTCAAAACAGACAGACAGACAAAAATATCAGCAAGGCTAACACAAGGGTTTTCATTACTCATTTGTAAGCTGTGTTAATCCGATGATCGATCAGCGATTGTGTCATTCACGTATTTTGATATCAGTGAATAACAGCATTGAGTCATGTAGGGGATTACAGTAAAGCATAGTACAGTACTCTGACGTCGTATTAAGCAATATGAACTTGGTAAAAATGTAGTGGAACGCTACTAATCTTCCGAATTATCAACCATAATAAAAGTATGTCTATTGGTAATGTCTGGACATCGATAGTATCAACAGTTAAGTATCTATCTATGCTTACTACAGCTTACATGGTTTATTCTGCCTCTATCATTTTAACAGTGTTTATTTATTTAAATGTTATGTTCTGTAAGCATGTAATTATTAATTGTGAGAAGGGATTTTCTAACGAAGAAACTTGCCGTTTGCATTACACAGTGATTGCTAGCCAGCCTGTGTCTGTAGAATGAGCAATATCATTTCATTTAAGTTTATACACGTCCAAACCAAGTTCATATTTAATAGTTTCGAAAGAAATCTGGACAGGTTTGTAGTAATACTATATCAGGTAAGTTTATCCAACATAACACATTGATACAGTACCACCAATCGAGTACAGCAGTTCGGATGTGAGAATAACTACTCAAGGAGGATGACATTGGCTAGTGATCGCGCTATATCCTGAATTCTCAGAAGATGGAATTTAGGGGTCATTCGATCGGGTCCCAAAGGCCTAATGGCTTACGAGCTCGTCTTATAGCCAGAAGGTCGTGGGATCGAACCTCACTGGGTGTGTATTGATGAAGAATCCCAAATGAGAACGAAAAAACTGCCCATTACTCCCCACTGGTTTTCCAATGGTTCTCTAACCGATATCAGCTCATGATGAAATCCTGTAACCAATCAAATCAAATCCCTGTAAACCGACACTTGAGTAATAATAATAATAATATTGATAATACTAATACCATATTACTCCGTTATATCAGGTAAGCTTATCTAACATGACCACTACGAAGCTTCGTGTGCTTTGGGAAGTGTGTGGGTGGTTGTTACTTCCCGGCTACCCACACCGTGAAAGTTGATTGGTTCTTCGGGTACCTGAAACAGAAAGAAGGTTAGTGTTATGTGATGGCAGAGCCCAGAGGACAACTGCTTGAGGCCGGTCACAAACGGCTTGTATGAACTGGTTTCTTGGTTTGGTTCCGTATTAGTAGTAAGCTTACCGTCGGTTACGGACCACCGGAGGGTGAGTTGGGATATACAACTTTTGGGGTCGACCTTTACTAACCCCCTCATTACGGAGTGGAAACACAGCATATGTGGCTGGAATACTGGTCATCTGAGGGAAACATCTTACTGTGGCTGTTACATCCCTTTTCCCCAGAAGTACGATTTCACCCTCAGACCCCCAAGAATAGTGTAAGAAAGATTCTTACACTATCCTAACAGCTTTTTGTGCATGGTAGGACCTGAAGGAACATTGGTTCCAACCAGTGTAGCTTGTTGGGTCATTGAGATGCGCAAGCTCGATCACCACTTTAGGGTAGGAGCTATCGGTCGGGCCACGCAAATTATCCTGTTACATTAAAGCTATACCACACCTTCTGACCTACCTTTAATTGTGTATTCAGTTGATGCGATGGCTAACAGTGTTATTTGTATATGATTGTCTGTGTAGTAGTAGCGGACGTAAATGTTCCTGGCTGAGATTTATGTCTCTAATCCTCTGGTTAAATACACCTCTAATGATTTCAAAAGGTGGTTGCATGTGATAAATAAAGCCTGTTATTTCAACCGTATTAGTATAAGGACTGCAATTAAATATGTGCGTGTGTGTGTGTGTGATTGTAATATTTACATAGTGATACTGTGATATCATAAGATTCATATCCTAAATAATGATTAAATTATAAGTTTGTGTACTTTTTTTAAGTGGCTACTAACCTCCTCACGTGTCTCATTCTTTTTTTCACACAAGGAACTGATTACTTCAAGAATATAACCAATTATATTTCAGGTTCACCTATAATTGACGTTATACTAATGAAGACTAATGTGTGCGCAAGCCTTCTCATCACACCTGTATATACACATATACGTCATATCATACTGCTATTATCATATAATCAATGTGAGGTGTTAAGAGTTGGTTTGATGCATAATTTCAATTCGTTATCTACTCAATAAACGCATTTCAATTCTTCGATGTACTACTCACCAGAAGACACGACTGTACGATCCAAAGATCGATATATTGCAAACCAATATGGACTGGACAGTTTATAAACTTACAATTCTAATTCCTATAGCATTGTCTTTCTAGTCTGGATGATGATAGTGTATTCTGACCACTTCTCGTGTTGTATTTTGTTTTCTTTTTTTTTCTGTAGACATTTGGATTATGGAATATTCAGACAGCGAAACATTTCGGTAATCTTGGTCGTTTATATCAATCAATGCAAAATAATAAAGTAAGCCGGAGAATGAGGTTATTTTCTCCTCTACGAAGTATTTTTGTTTTTTATTCTACTATATATTGGTTTAGTTTATATTTCGGGATTAGAATGCTCGCTAGCCAGCCAGCCACACACGAAAGGTGTGGCTCAACACACTCAATGAACCTCGCTTAGCCGTGGTAATAACTTCAGAAAAGGATAGAGGTTGGACGTGGGAGTATAGCAACAATAACACCACTGCTATTGAAACATCAGAAACCTGAAGTCCTATGTTCCACACGGAATGCAAGAGATGAAGACAATCCTCGGGGTTCAAATGAACTGTCGTCAAAATTTGACAGAATACTTGTAAAATATTTGAGCGCTGAGTGAGAAGTAGACATTTGTAAAAAAATTATATTTGTAAAATCTCAGCGAGATTGAAATGAGTAATTCCAACGTTTCGTTCGTCAATCTGGTCCGAACTTCTTCAAGGAAATTAATCGAAATTAACATAACAGAGGTTTATATCTATATATAAGGAACATGTCTTGTTTTTAAAAACTTTGTCCAATTATTTTGATCACAGCTCATACAATTTTGTTTATTATACTGGTTGATACTTATTTTATGACTCATGATTTGAAAAAGTTTTTAAAAAAACAAGAGGTGTTCCTTTTATATATAAACCCCTGTTATGTTAATTACGATTAATTTCCCTAAAGAAGTTCGGACCAGGTTGCCGAACGAAACGTTGGAATTACTCATTTCAATCTCGCTGAGATTTTACAAATATAATTTCTTGCAAATCCTCGGGGTTATTGATGAAATCCTAAGCAAACAGAAATACAAGGGAATTTATTACTTTTTTTTAAATTTCACTGTGATATTAATGATGAAATTAAGGTGGAGATAGTTCGCAATTATCATTATTATTATTTGGGGAGGAATTTCCCATATGACACTATCATGATAGGCTTCATTTTTTTAAACTTTTGTAGTTTATCCTTCGTTTCTATGCCCTGCTCTCCAATTTGATTGTATATGGCTTCAAGCTTCGGATATTTCAGTAGCCTAGGCTATGGCGTCGATTATACTGGCGTTAAGGTCTTTGAAGAAATCTCTTTGAAGACCGTCCCAAGTCTTTCTTTTTCGGGTTTATCGGGGGTGTTTGAAATTTACTTGGAAAACAGATAAAGATGATAATAAGCACATTTACTTACCACTTCTTTTGGGAGTTTAAACGAGTTGAAATCATGATTTAAAATGTACGTTATTTAAGTAAGTATGAATGAAGAGTGGACCTGAAATCATTATTTCATGCTCCAGGTGAATTTCTATTATAAATACATTATAGTGCTAGGTAAGAAAAAGAAGTCAGTTGATAAGGTTCTAAAACTGTATCGATTTAGACGGCTAAGACAGCAATATTAGCCGACATAGAACTAGGTTGCATGGGGAATTTCATCATGAGCTGACATTAGTTAGAGAACCATTGGAAAACCAGTGGGGAGTAATGGACAGCTGTTTCGTCAACCTAGTTTGGGACTCTTCATCAGTACGCACCCACCGGTGTTCGAGCCCAGGACTCAACGGTGGCTCAATGGTCTACGAGCTCGCCAGAAGGTCCTGGACTCGAACTTCGGTGGGTGCGTACTGATGAAGAGTCCCAAACTAAGTTGACGAAAAAGCTGTCCAGTACTCCCAGGTTTTCCAGTGGTTCTCTAACTGATTTCAGCTCATGATGAGATCCTCCTCCATCCAGTCAAACATAATCCCTACAAAACCAATACTTGAAAATCGAACTAGGTTGTAAAAGAGCTATCGGTGGTCAAACCGTAAGCTGGCATCAGTTCATGAAGTCTTTAAAAGTTGGTTTAAGCCACATTTTGTGGGGTGTTGATTGCCTGCTTGGGATACTCGGGATGCGAAGAACCCAATGGCTGGGGACTATTGATAGATTGTATGGCTCAAGATCGTTGTCAATGGTGCTGCAGATACATTCCTCACTGTTATCCCTGATATCTACTGGACTGTCATTTTTCCCCCATGTTGCTATTCCTTTTCCCTCATATTTCTGCTTAGCATAGCGCTTTTTTGAATGTCTTCTTTCTCTCATTAGTGTCTATCCTTGTGTGTGTTACATGGCGCGTGGCAACTTGAACTGCTCGACTTCTGTGCAGGGTTCTGTGTTGAAACTCAGTCAGTCAGTCAGTCGCTCACTCACTTTGACTATACAACTACCTATTATTCATGTATGTATTTAGAGACATTTTGAGTGAATAGTAGTACATTCATTTTTGGGCAATTTGGGACCAGTAAATACTTATTGAAATAAACCTTTAAAATCCCAACTTAATCAATCTATCGGTCAATCACTAAAGTCTATTCTGTTTTATCTGATTTAGGCGTTTTCATTACTACCAATGTTAGTTACAAAAGAAAAGTGAAACCATAGTAACATTGATTTGATTTATAAATGACTTGGAATTTTTATTCTTGTGATATAATTATGAAACTATAAACAGTTAGTTATTCCGCTTTTGAAATGTTATTAAATAGCCAGTTAATTGTCATTCCTTAGACAGTTATATATACATTATAGTGAATGAATGAATGAATTAGTGTTATAAACAGCATTACTGTTTAAGTAACATCGAATCAATAATATTGATAGATTACAGCTAAATAACATCAACATAAAATAAGCTGAATGTCAGAAAAATTAGGAAAGATAATATTACAAATTCATGAATTTATAGTCTTTACTAAAGGCTAGCCAGAGCAATAGAAGTGGTTGACTGGACTTGCTTCTTTTGAACACAGATCACTGGTTGTTTGACTTTCAAAGAACTTTTAATGCTGGCGAACTACACGTCTTATTCTCTACACGATCGATGGTGCTACCTTGATTGAAAGATGAAGTACGCAGACTAGCCACTTTAAGTTGTATCTACCAATTCAACTGCGCTTGTGGTGGAGCGAGTTATATTGGCCGTTGCTCTAGGAAATGAATTTTTCGTGCTCGAGAACATCTCCCAGTATGGCTAAGTAAAGATGTAGTTAAAACCGTTAACAATTCGATATTGGACCATCTGGTGCAAACCAGCCGGCCACAAAGCCAGCCAGCGTGGAAGAATCGTTCTCTATAACCTACCGGGTACCTAATAAATTCCCAAAATCATCGAAGCACCGCATGCTCTAAACAGCAGAGGCTATTGCAATTCGCCTCAAACAACCAGTGCTCTGTGTTCAAAAGAAGCAAGTCCAGTCAACCACTTCTACTGCTCTGGCTAGCCTTCAGTAAAGACTATATTTCATGAATTTGTAATATTATCTTTCCTAATTTTTCTGACATTCAGCTTATTCTATGTTGATGCTAATGAGCTGTAATCTGTCAGTATTATCGATTCCATGTTATTTAAACAATAATGTTGTTCATAACACTAATTCATTCATTCATTCACTATAATGTATATATAACTGTAGAGCCTGATGATGAAGTTATCGAAAAGAGTATTCTATGTTCAGTATCTATTTTTTTGAAATAATGTTCATGGGCATTTTTAATCAGTTTAGATAGTGTTTGTTTTTCTTTCAGGGCCATGTATCTACTATGGTTTTTTTCAATAGCCAGTCTTAAAAGTTACTCATTAGTTTAGCTAGTCGCATGGAAACAAGGAGAGTACATATGTTTGCTAACAAGATATTCGTACTCCATCTCCCCTTCTTATTTAATATGTTGCGTTTAGTTCTGATATACTCAGTCTACTATTAATTAATTAATTTATTCTGCTTGGTCGAGGTGTTATCCCATACAGTCTCATAAGCAACATACCCAATTATATTTAACATTTGTCGTTTTTTTCCTTCACGTTCCCCAGTGGAACATAGGCCTTCAAACTAGTGGCTTGAAGTTCATGTAGCAGTGTTTAACTTTTACAGGATGGGGTTCCTAGCCCCATGCCCAACCTTTCCTCTTCACCACCATTGTTTCTGGATTAACGAGGTTAAGGAGTGCGTCTGTGGCAGAGGATCGAATCCCGGATCATGTGCATGGTCGGCGATCGTCCTAACCGCCATGCCACCGACGCATATTCCACATTGTATTCAATAAGCTACTTCTAAAAGTCGTGGAAAAAGCCCCTCAGGACATTAGAGAGAAAACAAGAAGTTCAGAAAAGATATTCTTTTCAACAATTTCATTCTCAAAAGCGCTTGTACTACCACATTCATATACATCAGTTTAAACATACATACATGCATAAACACATACAATCGTTATTTAATTCCACATAATATCCAAGTCGATTAAAAGGTGATAATAATTTTCAACTTGATGTGAAACTTTGAAGGTGTGAATATACATTACACGAGGGGCTTAGATAAAAAGTTAGAAAAGGATTAGAAAATAGTTTTTTTTGTTGTGAACAAATACAGGTGTGAATAGGATGAACATGGAAACAAACTGAAATAATAGAGCTGTTTTATGACTAACAATAAAGGGAATGGGAACAAAAGAAAGAAAAAATAGGGTGTCAAACAGAATTAGAGCCATGATAAATGTAGAGGTTGGACTAGTTTCTTTTGAACACACATCTCCGGTTTTTCGATGTATGAGGAGAAGGCTTCTGTAGTACAAAGAAGTCGGAAAAGTCGTACCAAAACGTGTTAATAATGACAATAAACCAATAGATGCAGGGTGTCAGACTGCCAACTTCGTCTATAGCTAAACATCTAATCGAGATGAACCATAAGATCGATGTTGACTCAGCCTTTAACGTCATCTATAAAATCGGTCAATGGCGTTTACTGAAATACGCTGAGGTTATAGCTATTCATAAACTTAAGCTCCCCTTGTGTATTCAAAAACAGTTTGTTATTACTCTTAACCTACCTGGGTAATCCGTGTTTGATTGGATTACCAAACGTTGTGTTAATTATTCTTAATTCTTTTTTTTTGTCACTTTGTTTAATTTAACTTTTCCGTATATATTGACTTGACAAGTAAATGTGTGATCAGATTGTTCGAAATG